CCAAGTTCTAATTCAAATCAGATTTTAATTCAGTGTCCCATTATTTCTTCTTGAAACAGTTTTGTTTTCCTAAACATGATGTGTTACTTTGGTTTTATGATTAAAATCACTAATAAAAGCATATCTGAGCCCTTGAGCCTGGAATAATGGGAAGTTTGTTTTATACACGGTTAGGAAGGCTGCAGTCTACATGATAGAACTGAATTGATGAGCTACCTGAGTAAAGTAGCTTATGTGTTACTTGTCCATGCGCTTGTTGGATGCTCTTTTAGAGACATATACTTTTCCTTCCTCCCTTCCTGTGAAAACCAGGTGTGTTGGAATTAGTCCAAATGCCCCCATTTGATTTCTTCCAAATCAGAGGATGACTATCTTTCCCCCTTAGAAAATGAAGTTAACCCTTTTCTATGTTTAGCTAGAGAAATAGCCAGTCTTTTTCCTGTCACTGTTGTGTTTATTAAAATAGATGTGGGGGAAGGAGGCTTCTAAAACAAGAAATGTACCACCTTCTTAAGCTAATCATTTTTGTTCATTTGTTTGTTTTTAATTCTCACCTGAGGATATTTTTCCCATTGATTTCAAGAGAGAGAATGGAAGGAAGGGAAGAAGGGGAGAAAGAGAAAGAAACACCAAAACGAGAGCGAGACATCAGTTGGTTGCCTCCCACATTCATCCCCATCGGGGCTGAGGAACATGCAGCTGAGGTGCGTGCCCTTGGCCAGGAATTGAACCCACAATTCTTCGGTCCACTGGCTGACGTTCTAACCAGTGAACAAACTGGCCAGGGCTAAGTAGTCATTTTTTGCCTTTTACTTCCAGGCAAAAATGCCATTATTAGCACTTTTTTCGCCCTATTTATTGCATCCACCCATATGCCAATGTGAATTTTTCTGAGTTCCTTCTGGCCTCCTGGTTGAGCTGAAGACTGCATACTGGAAGCAGCGGGAGAGATACTGTACATAGATCAGCCACAGGGAGAGATACATGGATCAGCACAAGGAACTCAGGCTGGGAGACCTCACTCTGATTCTTAAATGGAAAAAGGCATCAGGTTTTACCATCTTAGCTGGCACCAAGATACCACAAAAGCAAGAGCTACTGGCCGCCTTTGATATGTCAAATCTCTAAGTCCTCTAGTTTGTACAACTGGCCTTTCATTCATAGGCCAGCCCCTTTTCTCTTGTCCTTTTTTCTTAATGGATTTTTCCCAGAACACTTGCCTTGATTTTTCCCTTATCCATCTACCAGGTACATTTTATTTCCTGCCAATCTGACAGGTTTTAAAGTGTGTGTCCTCTCTTACATGAAAACTTAGATCTTAAAAACGTGTCAGTGAGGTTGCTGTCACTTTTCTCAGCATTTACCCTGAATCTGACTGTCATTTTGCTGAAATCTATTGGCCTTGAAGGATTTCTCAGTGCTTAGCAGTAATTGGAGTAATGAAGACATTGCCAGAGCTAACTCTAATAGTGATCACATAGAGAAATTAATGTGTGAACTAGTTGATGCATATTAGGAATTCCCAATTAGCTTGCAGCTCTTTTGCAGTAACTGCATATTTAGGGTAAAATGCTAAAACAGATTTTCCCCCCTAAAGAAGTACTCTAGAAGGAATAAGATATGCTTCATGCTTAGATGCCACTGGGGCGTACATGCGAGATTGTATCATGTGAGACGCCCTTTAGACTGAAGGAATGATGATAACCTGTTAGAAAACAGAATGACTATATGATCAGATACAATGTGGGCATATTACAGTAGTTCTCATTCAGTCCCTAAATAAGAGGACCCAAAACATTTTAGTAACAGCTTGTCAGGAGCTGTTAGCCATATTTATTCCTTTAAATTAATGTGGGTGAAGTGGACCTTTAGAACAGTTGACTCTGTAAAAAGAAAAAAGCTTAATGTTCAGGTGTAGATACCAAGAATTGACCACCAACAATCCAGCAAAGCCCGGCCAGCATGGCTCAGTGGTTGAGCATCGACCTGTGAACCAGGAGGCCATGGTTCGATTCCCAGTCGGGGCATATGCCCAGGTTGCGGGCTCAATCCCTAGCGTAGAGCATGTGGGACAGCCGTGGGCAAACTACGGCCCGCAGGCCGGATCCGGCCCGTTTGAAATGAATAAAACTATTGAAAAAAAAGACCATACCCTTTTATGTAGTGATGTTTACTTTGAATTTATATTAGTTCACACAAACACTCCATCCATGCTTTTGTTCCAGCCCTCCGGTCCAGTTTAAGAACCCATTGTGGCCCTCGAGTCAAAAAGTTTGCCCACTCCGGGTGTGGGAGGTGGCCGATTAATGATTCTCTCTCATCATTGACGTTTCTATCTATCTCTCCCTCTTCCTTTCTCTCTGAAATCAATAAAAATATATTTAAAAACAAAAGAATCCAGCAAAAATGATCTTGCATATTTTCCAGGAGAAAATGGTAGGACGGATGTAGGGTTCTGGTAGGTGAGTGGTGCTGGGGGGTAGTAGCAAATAGTGCTTGTCACCAGAAGAAGGTGTTGTTTCAGCTTCTGAATGCGGGTGAGTGCCTGGTCATGTAGCAGCTATCAGGCATTACACAGGATTATTTCAAATAAATCTGCTTTCCAGAATGTCAGAGCTTCCTTATTTGATAGTTAGGGCGGCAAATTAAAAATGAAAAGCTAAGAGGCTAATACTTGAAAGAATGCTTTTAGGTGGTAATAGTGTGGTTAAGAGTATGGCCTTGGGAGGCAGACAGACCACCTTGGTTTGAATTATGACTCCCAACCTTTCTATGCCTTAGTTTTCTCATCTCTGAAATAGGATAATAAGAGTACTTCATAAGGTTATGGAGATTACATGAGTTAATATTTATAATTACTGCGTGGCATGTGGAAAGTACTATATAAGAGTTTGTAAATAAACCTGGTTTAATAGCTAAATTGAGCATTTAATTCTGAAGATGTATGTCTTCAAAACTGAATAAACATTAAATTACTTTTCTTTATACTTTATTTTCATCTTTCTCAATTCATGGTATTTTTGACATGGGTGTAATTTGATCAGACAATGAGTTTACAGAATGATATTTAAGGAAGGAACATCAGCACATACACTTTTCATTGTGTGCTTTTAAAAATCTCTCTGATGGGTTGTCCTGTATGTGGTAGAAATAATCACTTTTCTTACACTACTTCTCCAATCTAGAACATAGACTTTAGAGTAGGGATGGAAATATTATAATGGCAGTCAATTCCTGACTGTTGGTGTTAGCAGACTGGGAGGCTGTGTAATAAATGATGTGTACACTTAAAAGGAGGGAAGATGACATAAATGTAGGGTACTTAGTGTGTGCTCTTCATTTAGCAAAAGTTGAATTGCAGAAAATTTGATGTCACGTAGGTGCCTTATCATGAGAATCCCCTGAAGGCCCTGGCTGGTGTGGCTTATTTGGTCTGGTGTCCTGTGCACCGAAAGGTTGCTGGTTCCATTCCCAGTCTGGGCACATGCCTGGGTTTTCAGTAATTTGGGATTGGAGCCTGGGAACACACATATTCTTTAAAATTAACAGACTATTTTTTAAATTTTTTTTTATTGATTTTGGAGAGAAATAGAAATATCGATGAAAGAGAAACATCAAACATCAATCGGCTGCCTCCTGCATACCCCTAACCAGGGATCGAGCCCAAAACCTGGGCATGTGCCCTGACCCGGAATCAGACCAGTGACCTCTTGGTGCATGGGTCAATGCTCAACCACTGAGCCACAGCAGCCGGGATAACAGACTATTTTTAAGACCATGTATGTACTTTTAACAAGCATCTCATATGATTATTAAGTTAAGGCAAGATTCATTGACTTAAGTAATTCAACTGTCTTCTCTGAGCCCCACCTTCCTCACTAACAGAATCAGAGATTTGACTAAGACAGTTTGCATCCTAACTCCTGTGATTTTGTATTTCCTATTTTCCTAATGATTTATGATATCAAAGGAGAATTCCATTATGTGTGATGAATATGGGGTGAGGAACTGAGCCTTGTACTTAACAGAAAAATTAAATCAGTGAACTTTTAAAAATGTTTTCATGTAAAATCTTTCTAATAAGACATTAAACATAAAGTAGTTACTAGTAATTCCATTCTTTCTAAATATTGACAATAAAAGATAATAAAGCACCCGAAACTCTGGCAATACATATTGTCTTCTTATTGCGTGTTTGTGTGTACACACATACTATTTAAAATATTGCTGTTTTAGAATTAATGGTCTTAGATTTAGCAAGTTTACTAAAACTTGTAGCAATTAAAACATCTCTATCTCATTCTCACTGTAATCCACGTTAATTCTTTTACTTTGGCTAGTTATCTTATCACCTGAACATAAGTGGTCATTTGTCATATATTTTTGCTGGCTAATGCCTTTCCCATCTGTCATGGCGTGGTTAGCTAGAGAGACATGTCTCTCTGCCTGCAAGGACACAGTCGCCCAGCAACAAGGAATGTCTGACAATCAGCAAATGAGTACTGATTGCTCTATTCTCAACCCAGTGATTTATTTTTATTTTTTGTTAATCTTTATCCAAGGATATTTTTTTCCATTGACTTTTAGAGAGAGTGGAAGGGAGGGGGGGTGACAGAGAAACATCGATGTAAGAGAGAGACATAGATTGGTTGCCTCCCGCACTCGCCCCACAACGGAGCCCTAAACCAGAATCAAACCTGGGACCCTTCAGTCCACAGGCAGACTCTCTATCCACTGAGCCAAACCAGCCAACGTGACCCAGTGATGTCTTTTTTTTTTCCCCCAGCTGTTAAGAAATAGATAATTGGGAGCTATAAGCACAATTATTTGTGGGTTTTATCCCAAGTCTTCCCCAAGCCTGTTTCATGGGAAAATAAAGGTATTTCTTAGGCTTCACAAAATGATGGCCAGTAATTGACATGAGTTGACATTGGTCTTGGGGTTTATCTGGGCTATTGTGGAAGGAGCCTTCAACAACAGAAGCAAGATGGCAGCATGGAATACAAAAGTCGTAATTTCAAGGTTACTTTCTTTTAGATGAATTTAATTCTTTAAGTTTTGGTTGTTCATTAATTAATGAATTTCTGTTAAGCAGGGATTGCCTTTAGAACGCTTTAGGGTGTATAGCTTATTAAAACTGTTTAATGTATATGCTATTTTGAATGGTATGCTTTCCAGATCTAATTGTGGTCCATGGTGTTTTATTTTAGAAACTCGATGGCTTCTACAGGGAGCCAGTCCTCTGATACAGATAACATTTTTGGATTCCTCAGTGATGGCGCACCCCCAACCAAGAAGCCCAGGTAAACGGGAAGGGAATCTGAGAAGCAAAGTCGTTACTAGTAATGGTAGTGAACAAAAAATAATGAACTTGCTCTATACCTGGTTTCCACTAATTAATATTAACCTTTATGTAAAACTAGGGGCCCAGTGCACGAATTTGTGCACAGGTGGGGTCTGGCCAGCCTGCCTCAATTGGCCCGGGATGACCAGGGGGGAGGGGCTGCAGGCAGTTGGCTGGCCAGCTCCATCCCTGTTCAGGGTGGGGGTGAGGGGGCGATCGGGAGAGGGGCCAGGGGCGGTTGGCCAGCCTGCCCCGCCCCCTGGTTGAACTCCCAGTTGAATTCCTGGTCAAGGGGACAATTTGCATATTAGCCTTTTATCATATAGGATTACATTTCTTTTTTTGGATCTAATTTTATTTTACACAAGGTCATAAATGTACATACTTTTATGTCAGTACTTCATGATGCCTTGTTCCTTCCCCCTCAGAGATAGTCGCTTTCAACTTTATGTTTTTCTAATACTTACATCCATATTTTTCAGTACTGTGTGTACTGCTATGTTTTAGAGTTTTGGTTTTATCTCTTCTTCTTATGGAAGATGAGGATTAGGTTTGCTCTCACAGATCTTCTCCCACATTGTATACTAGTACACACACACACACACACCATACACATGCCCCACAACCTCCCAGTATGGTTTATATCAAATTCTGGGGGTTAAATTACTTTTTAATATTTACTGTATAAATGGTACTCATAGTTGAGCCTACTAATGTGTTATGATTACATTTCTTTTCTTGTCCATCCATCCTTCAAAGTTATTAAAGATCCTCTCTCTCTTGCTTTGGTTCACTTTGTTTTCTGTGTACCTGTCAGTGTATCTTCAACTCTGTGACGGAAGAGTCAGCCTCCTAGGCATACTTAGGTGTACTGACACATCACTACTGCACGAGTTATATTTGCTTCTGGATTCTTCCTCTGGACGGTCCACTCTGACAGTTGCTCTCCATGCTGCCCCATTGCTGATTGTGCCATTTTCCTCCCCCCTCGCCCTGGGAATTCCTCTACGCCTCTCCGTATTGGATCCTGTTTCCTGGATCGCAAGTCTTTTTCTTTGGTGTACTCCTTCATTTTGCTGAAGAATGTCCTCATTCACTTCCTCAGTTAGGGTGCAGAGGAGAAGTTTCTGGACGTTTGAAAATGTTTTTATATACACTTACATTTATTTGATGACTTGGCCGAGTGTAGAGTACTAGGTAGGAAATTGTTTTCCTTGAACTGAAAATCATCTTTCACCATTTGCTTTTAATATCTATTATCATCTTTTCCAGTAGACTAAACTTTTGAAGTTAGGACTATTCATTGAAGGGCTGAATGCCAGAGTTGGGGATAGGGAAGGTGATTCTAGAGGTTGTTTCTCCAAAGCCAGGTTTTCCAAAGCTTAAAGTATTGTTCTTTCTTGGATTATACCCAAATGCTGATCCTATTTCTGTTTAGTTTATTATTTGGACAATTTCTTGAGGGGAAAAACATGACATCAGCAAAAATTAAATTGCAAAATATATTTCAAGCAGATTTTATTATAGTCTCCAGAATGAAATGGGGCAGAGAACAAAGGCAAAAACTTGTGCCCACCTTGTATCACATAGAAACTTCAGGACAGAACTCTGTCTCAGCTTATCCTGGTGAAAAAGCGATGGTTTTCACTTTCTGTCATACCCATTGAATAGTTATTTCTTTGTTTATTTTCATCCTTGATGCTCCTCCTGTGCTCTCAGAATTCTGTTGGCCACTTTTTCTTTCTTTTTGGCCTGAGGATATCTAGAACAAACTGGTTCCCATGTTTGACCATCTAGCTCAGCTGTGGGCAAACTACGGCCCGCGGGCCGGATCCGGCCCATTTGAAAAGAAAAAAAAAAAAAAAGGCCGTACCCTTTTATGTAATGATGTTTACTTTGAATTTATATTAGTTCACACAAAAACTCCATCCATGCTTTTGTTCCGGCCCTCCGGTCCAGTTTAAGAACCCATTGTGGCCCTCGAGTCAAAAAGTTTGCCCACCCCTGATCTAGCTCCTGCTCCATTTTAGTCATGCTCAGTTTTATCTTAATAACATTCACAAAATTTGGGCCTAAATTTTTTATTGGCCACCTTTCATCTCCTGGTTTTGTTTATTTGTTTTAAATATGTTTTTATTGATTTCAGAGTGGAAGGGAGAGGGAGAGAGAGAGAAACATCAGTGATGAGAGAGAATAATTGATTAACTGCCTCCTGCATGCCCCCTACTGGAGATTGAGCCCGCAACCCAGGCATGAAGAGGAGAAGTTTCTGGATGTCCTGGATCAAACCCAGGACTCTTGAGTCTGAATTCCGATGCTCTGTCCACTGAGCCAAACCAGCTATGGCTGTTAGTTTGTTTTAATATATTTTTATTGATTTCAGAGAGAGAGAGAGAGAGAAACATCAATGATGAGAGAGAATCATTGATCAGCTGCCTCCTGCATGCCCCCCACCGAGGATTGAGTCCAAAACCTGAGCATGTGCCCAGACTGGGAATCGAACAGGCAACCTCTCAGTTCCTGGATCAGTGCTCCACCACTGAGCCACACCCGGCCGGGCATCTCCTTCTCAACAACAGCAGTTTAATTTGATTGGGGTTCTGTCCCCTCAGGAATCTAAATCAATCATGTTCCTTGAGATTGCATGTTGGTTTAAAATATAACTTAGAACTCAGCTGAGCTGTAATACAATCGAAACTTTTCCTACTGTTAGTGGGTTTTCTTAGATTGAGAGGACTATGAAGGAGGATATTGATTTTAAGATTGCTCTTTAGAATTCCTGAAATAGGTCTATGACTTGGTTTTCCAGCAAGCCCTGGCACAATATTCTGGTCTTTTGCATAAGCTATTTGGAGAGGTGTCAGAAACTGGCACTTGTCATCTTTGCAGCTGTCAAAGTTACAGCTGAAGACCATGGTTTAAGACCGTCTCTCAGATGTTCTCCATCCTCTCCTTTGTTGAACTTTTTTTAGGAAACTGCTTCCAAGCTTAAAAAGTAAGAAGCCTCGGGAACTCGTGCTGGTGATTGGAACGGGCATTAGTGCTGCGGTTGCACCTCAGGTTCCAGCTCTGAAATCCTGGAAGGGGTTAATCCAGGCTCTACTGGATGCTGCCAATGATTTTGATCTTCTAGAAGATGAGGAGAGCAAAAAATTTCAGAAATGTCTCCACGAAGATAAGAATCTTGTTCACGTTGCCCATGACCTTATTCAGAAACTCTCCCCTGTGAGTAACTGGCCATTTGAAATTTCCTAACACCGCCCGCCCACCCTCCCCACTCATGCTGAATGTAATCAGGATGTTCATTTCTAGCTTGTAGATACACATAGCAGTTGCGACTCCTGCAGAATGTCTGTTTATGGACCTTATTCAGGGTACTTATCTCTTGACCCCATTTCAATGTGTGTGTTTGCTGTTGATGATAGGATGACGACGACCATGAGGCCTTTATGTATACAAAAATGCGACAGCTGTTCCATTGTTGCTGTATTTTGAATTTTTCTGTACTCACTGCTATAAAAGCTGTGTTCACTAGCATCCATGCCTTTTAGGGAAGCTCAAAGATTAGAGATAATTTTATCTTTTTATGCATGGAGCAACACAAGTTTTTACAAAATATATTTTTATTGATTTCAGAGAAGAAGGGAGAGAGAGATAGAAACATCAGTGATAAGAAAGAATCATTGATTGCTGCCTCCTGCATGCCCCACACTGGGCACAGAGCCCGCAACCCGGGCATGTACCCCTGACCATGAATTGAACCACGACCTCCTGGTTCATAGTTTGACGCTCAACCACTGAGCCACACTGGCCAGGCTTTTTACTTCTTTTCCTGATTCTTCCTCTGCCCTTCCCAGTCTCCGCCCCCCCCCCCACTCGTCTCTCTCCAATGTAGATCTCTGCCTGCCATCCCCTCTGTGAGCTCTCTGTGTGCCTTTCTGCATCTGCTCCTGTCTCCCTGTCTCTCTCCCTCTCAGTTCCCCGTCTCCTCCACCTCCCCCCACTTTCAGAAACTTGGAGCCTTTTTCACTTCTTCTTTTCATTTCCTAGTCTTTAATTGTGATGATTTACTAATGTAGAACAATGTAAAGAATTAACAGGATTTAAAGAGCTCATGGACCCTAGCTGGTTTGGCTCAGTGGATAGAGCGTCGGCCTGCGGACTGAGAGGTCCCAGGTTCGATTCCGGTGAAGGGCATTTACCTGGGTTGTGTGCACATCCCCAGTAGGAGATGTGCGGGAGGCAGCTGATCGATGTTTCTCTCTCATCGATGTTTCTAACTATCTCTCTCTCCCTTCTTCTCTGAAATCAATAAAGATATATATTATAAATAAATAAGTAGCTCATGGGACCTTCATCTTATACCATATATAAAATATTATCTTGCCGATACGGGTTTGGCTCAGTGGATAGAGCGTCGGCCTGCGGACTGAGAGGTCCCAGGTTCGATTCCGGTGAAGGGCATTTACCTGGGTTGTGGGCACATCCCCAGTAGGAGATGTGCGGGAGGCAGCTGATCGATGTTTCTCTCTCATCGATGTTTCTAACTATCTCTCTCTCCCTTCCTCTCTGTAAAAAATCAATAAAATATATTAAAAAAAATTATCTTAAAATGGATTAAAGACTTAAATATAAGAGAGAAAACTCATAGAAGAAAACAGGTTTAACGCTTTGTGAATTGGATGGATCTGGCAGATCATTGTATATGTGTATTTTTTAAAATAAAAATGTTTTTATTCATTTTAGAGGAAAGGAGAGAGTGAGTAAGAGATAGAAACATCATTGAGCGAGAATCATCGATCAGCTGCCTCCTGCACACCTCTTACTGGGGATCAAGCCCTGACCAGGAATCGAACTGGGGACCTCTTGGTGCATGGGTCGATGCTCAACTGCTGTGCCTCACCGGCTGGGCTGTGTGTGTTACTTTTGATCATTGAGCTTGTCAAGCCTGCCATGTAACCCCCCGGAGCTGTCAGGGTTATTGCACAGCCCCATTTCCCTTCTCATTAGCCACCATTGCCTTTGCATCATCAGTGCAAATACAAACAGTTTAGACAAAATATCACCTTAATATTACTATGAAAATGTTCTTGACATTGCATACTCCTTAAGAATCTCAGGAATTCAAAAGGTCTGAGGGCTTTGTTTTGAGAAACATTCCAACAGAGGATATGTAAGAAAAAAATCCAGGCAACCAAAGGCTTGTAAGAAAGTGGGGAGCCCTGGGGAAATTTGAACACTAGCTGAGGATTTGGTATTAAGTGTCGATGAAAGAACATCCAGCCTAAGAATAAGTCTTACAAGAGTTTATTTGAGCCAAACTGATGACAGTTACCGGGAAACACAATCTCAACGGATTGAGAAAATGCTTTGGAGAATGATAGTTTTATTGTTTATTTTATATGTTAGAATCAAAGGACGACACCGAAGGGTGCGTTACGTAAAATCCATTGATGGTAGATTAGGGAGGCAGGAGAAAGCAAAGCAGGGAAATCTCTGTGATTGGATAAAAAATACAACAGACACACTTCTTTTACTTTGATGGGTACAGGATAGTTAACATGTACAGCACACAGAGATGGTATGGGGACAACAAGAATACAATGAGGGGTTCTTGGTCTCATACTCAGCTGGGAGGTTGTGCCCTGAGGGGTATAAAGGGGGGTTTCTTTGACCTTCCAAAAAGACAATAGACAGGCTCACTGAAGGCAGTAAAGATTGACTTTTGTCAAGGAAGCTACAGGAATGACTACCCACCGCGACTCGCTTTCAATTAGGAATCTTTATGTTCAGACCATCCTCTGGTTACTTTCAGTCTCTGAGTTTGTAGTACCCATCATGAGCCTCCCTGAGCTGGTCAGATGTAGGATGTGGCCCCTTTTTGTCCACATAAGGAATTAATAGTAATTTTTTTTTTTTAGGTATGATAGGGGTGTTGCAGTTGTTTTCTGTTTTATATGCAAAGGGCAGTCCTTATATTTTATAAGGACTTCAGAACCTACTGGAGTATCTGAATGAAATGATACAATGTCTAGGAATCATTTCAAAAAATTCAGTGAAGTGGAGAAGCGGTGTGGTGGTGGGGAGTTTAGGTTAAACAAGATCAGCTTTGTGTGATCATTGTTCAAACTGGGTGATGGATACATGGGGGTTTTTTAATGCTCTTCTTTTTGCTCCTGTGTATGTTTGAAAATGTCCATATTAAAGAAGAATATGCCTGGTCGGTGTGGCTCTGGTTGAGCGTTAAAGTAAAAGGCCCCCATCTACTGAGCCAGTTTCTTACACAGCAGGGAAGTGACATTGTCTTCAGTGCAGAGAACATTCAGAATCAGAACCCAAGAAAAGCCATTGAAATGCACGGAGACCCTGGGCAAATCACTTAACGCCTCTGATCTCTGCACCTATAAAACTGGGATAATGCTCCTTAGTTAGGGTTCTCTGAAGAGTAAGTGAGATAATAGAAAGTGTCTGGCACATAGTAGGCACTGCACAGGCAGGCACCTCAGGAAAAGAGTCAAGATTGTGTCTGTGTTCACTCTCTCTGGGATCAGAAAGATGAGAGTTGCAGGGTGGAAGGAAACGAAGTAGCCTTGGGATCAGTTCACAGTTTGAAATGAATGAAAAAATGCCCCTGGAAGTTGTGTGGGAGTTCGGCATTTCCTTCTGACCATGGAACTTCCTTTGGTTCGCATTCCTTTGCCCTGATTCAGAGGCACTGGTGGGAAATTTAGTTCCAGAGTCACCTGCTTCATATTTAAGTCTGAAGAAATCAGTGCAACAACGAAAGCCCCTTTCCTTCCTCTCTATGTTGATACACAAAATGTACTAACTCAGCGGTTCTCAACCTGTGGTTCGCGACCCCTTTGGGGGTCGAATGACCCTTTCACAGGGGTCACCTAAGACCATCAGAAAACACATATATAATTACATATTGTTTTTGTGATGAGTCACTATGCTTTAATTATGTTCAATTTGTAACAATGACATTGGGGGTCACCACAACATGAGGAACTGTATTAAAGGGTCGCGGCATTAGAAAGGTTGAGATTCACTGTACTAACTGAAAGAAATAGGGCTAGCCCTGCTGGAGTGGCTCAGTGGTTGAGCATTGACCTATGAACCAGATGTCATGGTCTGATTCCCGGTCAGGGCATATGCCCAGGTTGCGGGCTCAATCCGCCGTAAGGGGCATGCAGGAGGCGGCTGATCAATGCTTTCTCTCATCACTGAGGTTTCTATCTCTCTCCCTCTCCCTTCCTCTCTGAACTTTTTTTTTTTTTTTTTTTTTTTTTAGAAATAGGGCTAAAAGATACCTAGCTAATGTAAGTGACTCCTGACATTTATTTCCAGGCTTTAACATTTTTGTATTTCTTTTCTTAGAAGCAAGAAAATATATTCCACACCCCTGATTAGCTGATTGTATACCCAGGCATTTTTATCTGTGTGTGTAATGATTAAACTGGTATTTGAAGGTAGTGTTATATAACTGTGTGCATGAATCAGTACAAAATGAGTTATAAAACACAGGGAAGTTCTTAAAATAACAATATTCTTCGCTTAATTTTAAACTTAATTTTGCTTTTCTGAAGAGGTGCTGTTAACACACATTGCAGAAGCAAATGAAAGTGAAATACAAAGGGTTATGTTCATCCCAGCATCTCACTCCCACTCGTGCCTTTGTCTGCCTCCTCTCCCCACCATGGGTTACCACTCTTCCTAGCTTTTTTATTTTTTTTAAAATATATTTTTATTTATTTTTAGAGAGGAAGGGAGAGAGAGGTGGAAACATCAATGTTGAGAGAGAATCACTGATCAGCTGCCTCCTGCACACCCCACACTGGGGATTGAGCCCACAACCTGGGCATGTACCCTAATCAGGAATCGAACCGTGATTTCCTGGTTCTTAGGTTGACACTCAACCACTGAGCCATGCCCATGGCTGGGCTCTTCCTAGCTTTGTGAGCATCCTCCCAATGTACCTTTTTGCACACAGGACTATATTCTTATCTCACTACCCTCATCCCCCATGTCAACAGGTAGCGTCTAGACACACTGTTCCGCACCCCCTTTGTTTACCTAGCAGCATATCCTGGAGGTCTTTTCAGGCCCGTCTCCTGTATGTGTATACCGGGCTTGTTTCCAGTCCACTGTTACAGACGACAGAGAACTAATAACCTTGTGTATATCATTTGTTTTGCAGTTATATCTGTGGGACATATTCCCAGAAATGGAAGTTTAAGATTGTAGGATAAATAATTGTATTTAATAGATGTCAAAGGGGCACTGCATTTTTCATAACCAATCTAGAGAAGTGCCTGGCATTCCTTAGTGGTTGACTCTTGTATGCAGTGAAATTCAGTAACTGAGGTTATAAATTCTTCACTGTGTTTCTGAGCAGATTGTTCATTCTTTTTAAGTGTTAGAACCCCCTGTGGGCTGCCTGTGGTTGCTACAACATGTGATGGAATTATTTATGCCCTTACGCAATGAGAATGGGCAAAAAAATACATTCTTAGCCACACAAATATGGGCCATCCCACCTACTTAGCACCAGAAAAGAACCTTGGAGCCCCACTCTCCCCACAGCAGGTGCAGCGAAGAGCCTCCCTAATCATAGAGGTTGCCTGGACTAGGGACTGACTGACAAAAGCAGACAAACCTCTGAGCGGGTCACCACCAGGGAGAGGGACTATTCCACCTTCCCTCGAATTTTTCTGCTGTGAAAATATTTGGTAGGCATACATAATTGATAATCTTATAAAATACTTTGAAAAATTAGGGCAAGAATTTGGCAAATTAAGTGTGTTCCATGAATCTGCGTCCTTGGTTCCATGGGAACAGATCTTTATCTTAGCGTTGCGCTCTTAGAAAGATGTACAAAGGAAACCAGAAAGGTGGGGGCTTTTTTGAGGGAAAACAGCAGCAGTTATCTGTGACCTAGCAGCTAAGTGCAGTTACATAGAGGTTGAATGGGAAATATTGGGGCCTTTAAAAATGAATTCTTGCTCTGACATTATCTATTGGAATAGAATAGCGGGAATGGGATAGGGATCAGATACATGTCACAGCATGTTATGGTTACTTTCCCTTTCAAATTTCTTTTGTCCCACGGGCCACTTTCCACTTGCGATTAGTATTGTATTTCCTTATTAGTTCTCCGAGATACTTGCATAATTAAAATAAATCTGGGAAAACAGTTATGTAAATAAGCCATATGTTAAAAGATAGGGAGTCTGTTTAGAACTGACTAATGTTTAGTATTTTTAACAGTTGCAAATTGATAGCCTTTATTAAATACTAAATATTCTTCCTAATAAACACGTAAACAAATTGCTGAACTATGCAAGGGAAAAAAACAGGCAAGGAGAAGACAAGCAGTTTTCCCATAGCATCAGCATCTGTAAAAAGCACCTAGGATTAGAAAAAGAGATGCCTTTTATTAGTTATTCCCTCGTTAAAGTTTACGAAAGCACTCATTGTCTCCTTGCCTGAGGCCAAATTGGAGGGTAGTTGGCACCGTGTTTTGCCCCCAGCATTCCTTTATCCTGGCAGGAACATCTCCTGGCCATGTCCATATTCTCCATTCTGTCAGAGTGCCGTTCGCAGAGCTGTGATGTTTGCATGTGATGTGACAGTGCTGGTCCCTTGCTACTCGCCATCGTCTAAGCCAGTGGTTCCAAACGTGGGACATGCGCCCCACCAGGGGGTAATTTGATTTTTAAGGGGGGCAATTTGAGAATGAGATGAACAGTGAATTTTTTGCATTACTAATGGTTCTAGGGGACTCATATACCGCACATAAATATATAGTGACATATTTATGCATTTCAGTTCTCTATTACATGTTTTAAAACTTCACTTGCTGTTTTTTCATATCACTTCATATTATTTTTTAACAATTTCTTAGTGATTTCTTCCTCAGTACTTCAACTGTCCTTTCATTCTTTTCTTTTTCTCTTTCAAGGATGCTATGTTCTTTGGAAGTTGTTTAGACCACATTAATGGCCTTTTAGACTTCCTCCACGTGAATGGAGTTTACTTTTTGAATAAGGAGAACAATTTTTCTTGGGGGTGGGGGGCACCAGGATTTTAGATACTGAGGTGGGGCGTGGCCAAAAAAGGTTGGGAACCACTGTGCTAAGCACTTGGCGTGCACCTCCTGTTTCCCTTAAAGCCCTGGGAGGTAGACAGTGTTACCCTTATTTTAGATACAAAGTATATTTTTAAAAATTGCTATTTGTTATTAAGGCAAGTGATCTAAGAAAACACCTAGCATTAATTTTTTTCTCTTTCACATCCCTCTCCAGCGTACTAGTAACATTCGATCCACGTTTTTTAAGGACTGTTTATATGAAGTATTCGATGACTTGGAGTCAAAGATTGAAGACTCTGGAAAACAGCTACTTCAGTCAGTCCTCCACCTGATGGAGAACGGGGCCCTGGTATTGACGACAAATTTCGACAACCTCCTGGAACTGTACGCAGCAGACCAGGGCAAACAGCTTGAATCTCTTGACCTCACTGATGAAAAAAAGGTAAAAAGTAAAGCATGAGCCTGCCTCAGGCTAGTGGAGAGAACCTGTTTTCGTAGGGAGGTTGGGTAGTGTTGGTATTTGTGTAGAGAGGAAGCTGCTCCTTCCTGCGGAGATTTTTTTTAAAATATATTTTATTGATTTTTTTACAGAGAGGAAGAGAGAGGGATCGAGAGTTAGAAACATCGATCAGCTGCCTCCTGCACACCCCCTACTGGGGATATGCCCACGACCAAGGTACATGCCCTTGACTGGAATCGAACCTGGGACCCTTCAGTCCGCAGGCCAACGCTCTATCCACTGAGCCAAACCAGTCAGGGCTGGAGATTTTTTTTTTTTTGAGATAAAAATCAATATACATAAAATGCACAGACCTTGAAAGTGCTCAGTTCTGTGAGTTTTGACAATTTCACCCAATTTTAAAGTTAAATCATAGGAAGTCATTTGAACTGTAAGATCTCTTTAATATCTGATAATGTCAGATGGTTGTAATATTTATTTAGAATTCTCTCTTTGTCCTAGCCAGTGTTGCTAAGTGGCCTGCATACAAAGCGTCCCAGGTTCGATTCCCAGTAGAGGGGATATACCTCAGTTGTGCATTTGCTCCCCACTCCCTGTCGGGACACATGTGGGAGGCGACCAGTCAATGTGTCTTTCTCACACTGATGTTTCTCTCTCTCTCTCTCTCTCTCTCTCTCTCTCTCTCTCTCTCTCTCTCTCTCCCCCTCCCCCTCTCCTCCTTCCTCCCTCTCCCTCTTCCTTTTCCCTCTGTCCTCCCTCCCTCCCTCCCTCCCTCCTTTCTATTCACTCTGAAAAAACAATGGGAAAGATATTCTCAGGTGAGGATTCACAAAAAAAGAATTTTCTCTTAGAATATATTGTGTGTGCCAACTCCATCTGGAAATGAATGAAAACTACTTTCGGACATCTGGCAGACCATCTTCCAGGCCAAGTGAATGCTGGGTTGAGGTTAATGTTCAATGGAAACCTCAGCAGACTTTTTTATTGTAGCCCATACTATACCTAAGCTAGCTACTTAATAATAGTCAATTACAGATGTTGATCTGTGCCAACTAACAAGATGAGGCTATTAGAATGGTCACCTGAGTTAGTAATTTGAAATCTAGCATCAACAGGACATTCTATAGCTGTACCAACATGTATTTAATTGGTGAAAGTCAATGAAGCCATAAAAGGCAAAATGTTTTCTTTGCCATAAAGATGTCAGAGACAAAATAAGTGAGAGAAAAAAAATAAAACAAAACAGGTTGCAAACAGCCACCTGGTCTCATTTGTCCTGCTCTGTAGTTTTTGTAATTATCTACACTAATAAAAGACAAAGATGCTAATTGACCGTACCTTCGCTATGTTCATCAGCCAATCAGTCAAGTATGCAAATTAACCCAATAAAGATGGCCATGAAATTTGCATACTGCAGGCAGATCCTGCTGTGCCACCCTGCTCAAGCAGCATGATCCCCAGCTGCCGCCCGCCCCAGCGCGGGATCCGGGTCTGCCATATGTGACCAGGGGAGACAGGGCAGGCACCGTGGAATCGGGCATGCCATCTGCCACCAGGGGAGCGGGCCTAAGCCAGCAGGTGGTTATCTCCCGAGGGTCCCAGATTGTGAGGGGGCACAGGTTGGGCTGAGAAACTGCCCACCCCACCTCCCGCCAGTTCACAAATTTTTGTGCACCGGGCCTCTAGTCCTTCTATACTTTGTTTTCCCAGGAGCCTGCCTCTGTGGCCAGCCTAGAACCCTGCTAAGTAGTTTGAATAGACGAGAGACTCACGCACTGGCTTCATTGCCTCAGTACTGCCTCTACCAGAGGAGCAGCTCTGGTGCCACTCTGTAACTTTGCTGACCTCGAAGCCAGGTTTTACAAGGAAATCACTTAGGGACGTGGTGCCATGAAGACTCATTTTCTCTGGCTGGAGTGTTTCCACCTGCTACTCTTAGACTCTGTGTGGCCAGTTCCTTCTTCACCTATTAAGTCTCAAATAGCACCTCCTCTGAGAGGCCTTCTCTGACCATCCTATTTAAGAAGGGACACACCCCAGCCCTGGCCAGGTAGCCCATTTGGTTAGAGCATCATCCCCGACACAAGAATCAACCAATGACTGCATAAATAAGCGGCGCAACAAATGGATGTTTCTTCTCTCGCTCTCTCTTTCACCCTCCTTCCCTTCCTCGCTCTCTAAAAATCAATTTAAAAATTAACAAAAGAAAGTCAGAAGCCTAGTCATCTTGCCTGCTGTGACCTTGAAGCAAGTGTTCAGCCTGCCCGCCTGGTTGAGCTTTCTTTGTGTTGTGCAGGTCCTAGAGTGGGCTCAGGAGAAGCGGAAGCTGAGCGTGCTGCACATCCATGGGGTCTACACCAACCCTAGTGGCATTGTCCTTCATCCCGCTGGGTACCAGAACGTGCTCAGGAACACTGAAGTTATGGTGAGTGCTGCTGATCTCGCTGGTCTTGGGAAACCCTTCCTGGAAACCTCTAAGGGTACCATTGGTTTTCAAGGGCTAACATGTTCTTTTCATTCATTCAAAGTTGAAAGGTCAAACATTCTTTACTGTACTCCTCAGCTTGTGGGTGTGCGTGCCATCTTGAAAAATGTACTCGAGGTATCGAGCTACAGGCTTTCCCTTTGTTCTTTTTTTTTTTTTCCATTTTATGTTTTTCTTTTTGTTGATTTCAGAGAGGGAGGGGGTGGAGAGAGAAAAATCAATGATGAGAAAGAATCACTGAACAGCTGCCTCCTACACACCCCACACTGGTTATTGAGCCCACAACCTGGCATGTGTCCCAACTGGGAATGGAACAATGACCTCCTGGCTCATAGGTCCATGTTCAATCTCTGAACCACGCTGGCTGGGCTCCCTTTGTTCTTGGACAGACAGCTGGTTGCCATCACCTTCACATATGAAGAATACATTATTACCTCTTTTTATTGTGCAGTTTATTATAGTATTAATAACCCTCTCTATGCCAATAATAACTGGTGTAGCTTTTATCAATCACTACTAGAATATACATCCTAAAGTAATTTTGTGTAAATGATGATGGACTTGTATTAATTACCACACTTATTCAAACTTACTGCTCAATGGAAAAAATTGAAAAACTCTTGGTGATAAAGTAGAGGTTTTCTTCTTCGTGAAAAAATATCTTTGTTGATCTTTAAAGATGCAAGTGTTAGACTTGCTCACACATGCATGTTCAAACCAAAAAGTCTACCTCACCAATGAAATGTGGGAGTGATTCACTGGCCTCCAATTCTGAAAATAGTGTATAATAGGACTGGGTCACTTAGAGTCATCGTATCTACATGATGCAGCAAAAGAAAGACCAAGAAAATGCGATGTTTTCTAAGGCATAAGAGCCTTTTCCCCCACATATTCTTTCCCTGGCATCTGTTGGAACTCCATTCATTGCTGACATTGCGTGATCACTTAAGCAAAATCATTTCTAGTGTTTCTATATTTACATATGTGTATATAAAGATACATACACACATAGATATATATTGATCTAAGTATTGAGGAAATCTGGTGATGAAATTATCTTTCTGGTGGTTCATGGTGCCCTTTGTAAGGCAAATACAGTCCAAAAAATGGAAAGAGTAAGATATATTAAAGATCTACTCGTTGGTCTCATGGCTTCTGGGTACATAGATCTCAAAAATAAATTGCAAGGTCAGAAGATCAGTGGTAACCCCGAGAAACCCTGAATAGAGAACCTATGGGCAACACCTATGACAACAATATTGTAGACATAGGTCTGATATTGGTACAGGTCAATATTAGAACAATAATAAAGTTATAGTGATAGCCCGGCTGGTGTGGCTCAGTGGTGGAGCATCAACCCATGAACCAAGAGGTCACTGGTTCAATTCCTGGTCAGGGCACAAACAAGATCAGCTTTAGGGGCTTATCCTCCCTCTTAACCCTGGTTCAGTGACGGCCACAGTGTGTTAAGAGCAGTGATGATGAGCCTGTGGCTTTTGTGTCTCAGACACGCCTTGTGTGTGTCTTCACCGTGTCACTTTGTTTCTTTTCCTGCAAGAGAGAGATTCAGAAACTCTATGAAAACAAGTCATTTCTTTTCCTGGGTTGCGGCCAGACGGTGGATGACACCACTTTCCAAGCCCTTTTTCTGGAGGCTGTCAAGCATAAATCTGACTTAGAACATTTCATGCTGGTTCGGAAAGGAGATATAGACGAGTTCATGAAGCTTCGAGAAAACATGCTGGACAAAGGGATCAAGGTCATCTCCTATGGAAATGAATATGCTGATCTTCCAGAGTACTTCAAGCGGCTGACCTGTGAGATATCCACGCGGGGTAGGTCAGGTAAGATGCAGCTCTTCAGCCTTGTGTGTGTTGGTTATGGGCAAAGTCATTACCAAGATGAGGACTATCACCCTAACCAGATTAGGAGGAGGGCATGTTTGGTCTTCAGGTTGGATGAAAATGGCATTTGGATAGGAGAAAAAGGCACAAAGGCGAATCCATTGCAGAAGTGGGAAGAAGGAAGGAACTCAGCCTCATTAGTTATCAGTGAAGTGCAATTAGAATTTCGATTTCAAAATAGAAAAGAATGGTAACTCAATTTTGGCTAAACTGTGAGGAAAGAAATATATTCATGTTGGAATATGTTAAAATTTTGAAAACCTTTGTCCCAGAAATTTCACCTAAAGAGATAATTGGACGCCGAAACCGGTTTGGCTCAGTGGATAGAGCGTCGGCCTGCGGACTGAAAGGTCCCAGGTTCGATTCCGGTCAAGGGCATGTACCTGGGTTGCGGGCACATCCCCAGTGGGAGATGTGCAGGAGGCAGCTGATCGATGGTTCTCTCTCATCGATGTTTCTAACTCTCTATCTCTCTCCCTTTCTCTCTGTAAAAAATCAATAAAATATATTTTAAAAAAAAAAAGAGATAATTGGACAATTGCATAAAGATATACTTGTGGAATGTTACCAGTTTGTATAAATGAAAATATTAGAAGCAACTTAAAATGTTTCACTTAATAGGAAATTATGTAAATACTCCAATATTTATTTCATTGATAAAATACAATGAAGCTATAAAAGGGAAAATGTTTTTATTGTCCAAAAATATGTCAGAGTAATATTGTGAGTGAAGGGAGGAAAAATCACCATGATCAGTCCCATTCATACAGAATTACAGACATTCTGTTTTTGTTTATGTGTATGTATAGAGAAATATCTACAATGATAGTTACTAAATTAACTGAGGTTATGTTTATGCTATTGGACTTAAGGGTTTTTTAAAGATATTTTGTTTCTCTGTTAGCATTCTCTACAGTGATTATGCCTTATCTTTAGAAAAACAAAAAGCACACCTTAAAATGGTCTTTGGAAATTAACATGGTATTAAAGTCAGAGATTGGGGTACCACTCACTCACTTGACATTTTACCTCCAGTTTTAATGAGAAAGCCAAATGGGGATAAAAGGTTGTTTATTAATGGCTCGAGGCAAGTTCCCAATAACCCTACAAGATACAAAACTTTATGGTGTCAATTAAATGGAAGTTTGCTTTTTAAAACCTTACTTTGAATGAAGCCAAGCCCCCAGGGTATGGCCACTCTGAATCACTACCCAGTTCCAAACAAACTTTGCTGTTATATGTAGAATATGTTCTTGAAAAGTTTTATGTTAATGTGGATTTTCATTGTCAATCTCAGTGCTTCTGAGGGGGCCTATTAAAGTACGGAAAATTTAATATAGAGGGAACTTTTCCTAAATCAAATCATCATTCCCAGTGTTTTCTCCTGAATCAGATTGCTTTGAGTGGAATTCTTTGTAATGAGAAATAATATTTATTGTGGCCTATATTCTGAGGTCTTCTACCCAGGGAAGAGTTTGTGGGAAGCTCTTATCACCATAACTGAGCACAGAAAACCATGTCTGCCCTTCTCCTATAGACAAACTTTTCGGTTTCTCTCGGAAAACAGCTGCTGTTCTTTCTTGGGGACATGTTTCCTGCTGTCCTGCTGTGTTTGATTCTTTTGCTGTCCACCCACGCGGAGGCCTTTCAGTCGCTTTTACTACTGGACACGTTCTGTTTTCATTAGACAAGAGATACATACCCAACCTTTACATATTTATTGTGGCCTACATTCTGAGGTGTTCTACCCAGGGAAGATGCTAAAATTGAAAATAGCAAACCCCTCCTGGACAGCTGTTCCTATTACACTAAAATTTTTAAATAAAAATATCTGAAGTGGCATAAAAGTTTTTATTAGCTGCCTAGGAGTCCTGTTACCATAGGTAGTTAACCAGTTATTAATAAGGAGGATGCAGCCGAAACTGGTTTGGCTCAGTGGATAGAGCGTCGGCCTGCGGACTGAGAGGTCCCAGGTTCGATTCCGGTCAAGGGCATGTACCTGGGTTGCGGGCACGTCCCCAATGGGGGATGTGCAGGAGGCAGCTGATCGATGTTTCTCTCTCATCGATGTTTCTAACTCTCTATCTCTCTCCTTTCCTCCCTGTGGAAAATCAATAAAATATATTAAAAAAAAAAATAAGGAGGATGCAGAGGGAATTAGACCTTGTGAAGCATGGTCAGCTGGGGAGCATGCGCCTGTTTGTTTCACCAGAAAGCTAGTTTCACCCAATCCAGGGGATCACAGCATCGCCCCGCCAAGGATTAACACCCTCCCTTCCCCCTTCTGGTACCGGTAGGGATTTTGGGGTGTGAGGAGAGCAAGGGGAGATAAGTACATGTGCAACGGAAGTCAAAATGATTCAGGAGGAGTTGCTTGGCCATAGAGGCCTGTCAATCTAGCCTGGGAAAGGGCTCAGTGGCTAGAGGGTGGACCCATCAGAGGCCTGTGGAAACTGGGAACTTGGTCAGTTATTTTGAAAAAGCACCTGGTCCTTCTCAAGCCCCAGATGCTATAATCCCAGGGGAGCAGAGTTCTCCCTCTCTCCCTCCCTCTCTCCCTCTGTCTCCCCCCCCACCCCCTCTCTTTCTCTCTCTCGCCCACTGACCGGAGCTCGCCCCATTCGTTGGATCATTTTCTCTCTATAGTAACCATGTGGCCTTAGCTCCAAATACAGGCTCCACGGGGAGCCTGGATACTGCAACACAGCAGCAGTGGCAGCCCTGAACATAGGCTAAGCTGGTGGTGGTGGGAAAGCTGGGTGGACTAGCTTTGCTGTGGCACAGGATCTCTGGACATTGGCCCTACTTGTGGCCCTGATTTTCTATGGTGGGAGGGACAGAGATGGGAAATTAGGAACCCAGGCCTCTTCTATTTTCACCTAATAAATCTTCCCACCAGACCTCATCCTCTCTTGGGGGTCCCCAAAAATGCTTTCTCTCATGATACTGCAAAAAATCGCACTTCCACCAGCAACACCACTAGAGTCGATTTCCCCAGTTAGCACTGGTTATATATTTGGAATTTTTAAAAATCAAGGCTTTCCTATATGGTGAGGGGGCTTTATTAGAATGGTCGGCTAAGTTAGTTCGTGATTTGAAATCCAGCAGAGCAGTTTTGGGTTAAAAATATATTTCATTTTGAGACAAGTGAAACTTATCTGTCATCCTTGGTTATGTTTTGAGTTTCCATAGATACGTACTGATGTTGGTTTGTTTAACACTGAGCATTTGCTACATACCGGCATTGTGCTGTGTACTTTTACATAGTGAAAATCACTTGGGTTCAAAACAGTGTAAGATCTCGTACATTATTTCAGAAAAATCAAGTAAGGAAAAAAAGGAAAATAATGCTTTCATAATTCGTTACCATCATACAAGCAGTTCTTTGGTATATTTCCAATTAACAGTTTTTCATAGTTATAAAAAAAGTATACAGACAGTCTTGGTACTTTTTATTCAGTGGTATATTATATAAATTCCTACGAGGCTACAGGTTCAAGGTTTGTGTGCCTGATGCTTCAAAGGCCAATAAGCAAAAACGTCATAGAGTTTGGAGTAAGGAAAGGTTTATTGATCAGGAAGGTGCCAGCTTGAGAAGATGGGGAATTAGGGTTAGACATAATCTTATAGCTTCCGCAAATCCATTTCAAGAGAGCCCAGAATTCAGGCATCTTTTAGGTCAATGAAAGGGAGGAGGGGCAAGGCAAGAGGTAGCTGAGGAGCCTAGACAGCTAGATGGTCAGGGATCCAAGGAAGAGCATGAAATCTCTGTATCTCTTTGTTCCTAGTTGGTCCATTGAACACCGCCCACCCCACCACCACCACCACCCCATTCCTGCCATCTGAGTCCACTCTTTTTTTAAAAAAATATATTTTATTGATTTTTTACAGAGAGGAAGGGAGAGGAATAGAGAGTTAGAAACATCGATGAGAGAGAAACACCGATTGGCTGCCTCCTGTACACCTCTTACTGGGGATGTGCCCGCAACCAAGGTACATGCCCTTGACCGGAATCGAACCTGGGACCCTTCAGTCCACAGGCCAATGCTCTATCCACTGGGCCAAACCGGTTAGGGCCGAGTCCACTCTTTTAAAAAAAAACAAAAACAATTTTTATTGATTTCTTAAAGAGAGGAAGGGAGAGGGACAGAGAGCCAGAAACATTGATGAGAGAGAAACATCGATCAGCTGCCTCCTGCACACCCCCCACTGGGGATGTGCCCGCAACCAAGGTACATGCCCTTGACCAGAATCAAACCTGGGACCCCCCAGTCCGCAGGCCGACGCTCCATCCACTGAGCCAAACCGGCCAGGGCGGGCTGAGTCCACTCTTAAGGCTCCTGTAAAAATTTGATAAGCAACCATTATTTTGTACACATTTCCCCACCTCTTTCTGGAAAGGTGCCTTCTGACAAGGGGCTGTTCTTGGAAAAGCTCAAGCCTCAAGCAGAATTCCTCTAGCCAATTAGCATGTCCATAGCAGGAACTGTAAGTGTGAAGGCCATGGGAGAAATGCTAGCTAGAATTAAAATAGTCAGGGACTGTATGTAACATTTTCATGACCACTATTTTAATATTTTTTAAAAATTTATTTTAGAAACATCAATTTGTTGTCCCACTTATTTATGCATTGTCATAACCACTATTTTGTTTAAAATAGGTTTTTGTTGATTTGAGAAAGGGAGAGGGAGAGAAACATTGATGATAGAGAAACATCAATTGCTGCCTCCTGCAACCCCCCCCCCCCCCCCCCCACTGGGGATCATGTATATGCACAGGATGATTCCCAACCAACAGAGCCACACTGGCCAGGGCCATAACCACTATCTTTAATGACTGCGTTATAACCCAGTGTAGCTGTTAGTTTACCTAATTATTTTCCTATTAGGCAGCTTCTAATTTTTTTCTTTATTGTAAGAACTGCCATACAGTTTTTCCTTTTGCAAGTAATTTCCTTAGGATAATTATGTTCTCAGGGTAATTACTAGATCAAAAGGCATGAACATTTTAGTGATTGATAAATATTGCTCAAGTGTTTTCTAAGAGGGAAGTAGCATGTATGTTTTAGTGCTGTCTCTTATTTGTACTCTAATTGCCCATATTCTTTTCTTCCATGTGTTCATTTCTATACTTTTTCTGACACCATTTTCTATCCTAGTGCTGGCCAATAGGATCTTCTGCAATGTTAGAAATATTTTATACTTTTTGCTGTCCTGTACCATAACCACAAGTGACATGTGGCTGTTGAATATTTGAAATGTGGTTAGTGTGACAGAGGAAGAATTTTTAATGTAAAATTCAGCCATGTGTGGCTAATGGCATCATATTAGACAGCGCAGATCTAATCCAGCTTATACTGTGGGAGTATCTGCTACTTTGCGCTTGTCTACTTGGTTGAATTTGCTCATTTGCATGCTGCTCCCCACCCCTGGTCAGACTTTCCCCCCCTGAACTTGGCCTTCTCCACCAGTTAGGGACGGCAGACACACTGCCCATGTAAACGTTTTGTTTACAAGCACTGTCAGTGCGCACACTCCGGCCTTACTGTTTCCGTTATTTAACACCACCAGTTGGAGACTAACCTAGTTTATTCTCCCGCCTCCTTGTCTCCTGCTGTACTAGTACGTGTTCATTACTAAATAATGCCATCCTTTAGATACAGTGGTTCTCAACCTTCTGGCCCTTTAAATACAGTTCCTTATGTTGTGACACAACCATAAAATTATTTTCGTTGCTACTTCATAACTGTAATGTTGCTACTGTTATGAATCGTAATGTAAATATCTGATATGCAGGATGGTCTTAGGCGACCCCTGTGAAAGGGTCGTTAGACCGCCAAAGGGGTCGCGACCCACAGGTTGAGAACCGCTGCTTTAGACCATGCTTTCATCTCCCTCTGGATGGTTGGTTGGTTTTCTAGCAATTGTTTTGGCTTTTTAATCTAACAGCTGACATTGATGTTCACTCTGTTTAGCAGGCGTGATGAGAGAAGGTCACCTAAATGGTTCATCTGCAGCGCACAGTGAAATAAGAGGTATACTGTTTCCTGTTTACTATCTGCCTATTTGTCAACAGAAAATGTTCCTAAGACCTAGTTAAGACCTTGGGGAGTAATGACTTGCTGCTGCTATCTGAGAAACATTATTTTTCTTTTTCTTAAATTATTGTTTAAAGTATTACATACAGTATTACGTAAGATTATTTTTCTACCAAGTCTGTTACAAGATGCCTGTGTCTTATATCTTGAATTCTGCAGGTTAAGCTGGACTTCAGCACCTGCAGCTTTAGATGTGTAAACCTGTTTATGAACCTCCCGTTTATTCTCTCCCTTCTCTCTCCACAGACCTCAGTACATGAGGGCTACAGAAGTCACCGACATGAGACCAAGCTGTAAGGCCCTACCATGGACAGTTTAACAGTAAACTTACAAGAACCCAACACAACTCTGAAAAGAACCAAAACCCAGAAGTTGAAGGCTGGGGCTACGTAGAGTGGTGGCGAACTTCCCACCTTAATCCTTCGTGCCGACTGGTCTTTTGTTTTGTTGTTTTCCAGTTCTTGATCTCATATGGCCTGTTCCAGTTTGAGAAAACCCAAGTGACAATGGGACCCAGTGCAGCTCCCCACCCACCACTGGGCTGGACATGCCTGTGACTACACGGGTCCGGGTGGTGCCCCCTGCGCAGGCTGCTGCCCGGCATGGACGCGGGCTGTGGATGCCGTGGATTCACCGTGGCCGCTGCAATTTTATACTCTAGACTTGGTTTTCCACTTAAGCTTAATGGCTTTTTCTAAGACTTGAAGCTCTAGTTTTCTAGATCTCTTACAGTGTACAGTATTTTACATACCTGAGCTGTATTAAATGCTTGTTCATTTACTTCCCAAGGCCCTGGTTCTACTTTGTCACTTTTGAAAATTAACCTGCAAAGGTCCTGACAAGCCTAATTTTTGTCACTCAATTTAATTTTCAAGACCTGTTCCTTTCTGGGAGAGGGGACCTTCCTCAGGAGAGCCATTTTCCCAGATTCCTCAGAGCACCCATTCCCACTGCTTCCCGTACATAAACACTAGTTAGCGTGACATGGGATTGTAGTTTTGAATCCTATATAAAGTAACTCCGAGACTAAAAGGCGATTTACTTATGAAATTTATTTTCTTATATATAAATTATGCATTTCTCTGGGCAGACAGCCTTCACCTTATTGCACTAAGCACGTCTGTAATACAAGCTACAGGACAAGTCTCAACAAGAGGTTTGTATTTAATGTAGCACTTGTCTACCAGGCACTGTAGAGAGGAGGCGGAGGAGCTAGGGTCCCTCGGGGTGAAGAACGGGGAGGGGCACCGTGATACCTCCCGACAGGCAGTTCCCTCCCAGGAAGGGGAACATGCAAAGCTTACACCTGGGTTCTGGGCCTGGGGAAGAGCTGGAAGGCTGAGAAGCCCAAAGCAATACTGCAGCTCGCCCCCTTTTCTGAGGGATGAGGGAAGGGGGACTCACCTTTCGCTCATTGTAACAAATCCCTCTGGCCTTAGCCGACACTTTGAGGAAACCACGGGATGGGATCATCAGAATTAGCAGCAATTAAGAACAGGCTATACAATGCCACAGTGTGGTTGGTGGGTGTCACCCAGGCTCAGGGACCTGAAAGCTGTATAGCCTAGAGAGAGGTGCCACTCAAGACCCAGAGCTGGTTCTGGAAGTCTCTTAATCTAATGGAGCTTCAAACTGCTTATGATGCTCAGATGTCCTCATGACCACACTTACCAGCCAAGTTCTGGTGTCAGATCTCCTGACCATTGGTCAAAGCTGTAATGAGGCGGAGACCATAGGCAAAGTGAGGGGGTAGGAAGGGTAGAACCACAGTGGTGGTGGGCGGGGTGGCATGGGCAGTGGGCAGTGACTGTAACATGATTAGGCCCTCCTTGTAGACGGGGGCTAGATTGAACAGGGAGTGGGCTAGAGGAGCTGCACGCCAGGACCTGCCCTCACTCTGCCTCTGCACTACACTGAAGACAAGTTGCTCACACTCTAATGCACATTCTTGATCCAGGAACAGGGACTTTGGGGGAAGCGGTGATTTGGTTTTGGGCAAGAGCATGTTAAGCCTTCATGAGGGCAGCCACCACAGCCTTGGCGTTGAGACTGCGTAGGTCGCAGTAGGTCTGGCCAGTGCCCACAAACACGATGGGTTTGCTTGTGATGTAAGTCATAGAAATAGCAGCTCCCACCTGAAGAGGAAAAAGGGGTACCCAGTCAACTCAAGGACCCTTCTTTGTACCCCGAGTAACAGGAAGCTTTGCGCTAATGCAGCCTCAGCTACCTTGTGAAAGATCGCCACCCCCTGCCCCCACCCAGTCCCCCTATGTCCTATGTCATTCATATTTACCTTGTCATCAATGGTATCAAATTTGGTAAGGACAATGCCATCAATGAGCCGAGGGGTTTGAGCCATAGAATGGTCAGCCAAGGCTCTGTTGAACTTGACCTGGAAAGGAGACATGGCATGTAAGTGTAAAATGCACCTTTCCACCCAAATCCGAGGCTGGAAAGAGAACCACGCCCTCACCAGCTGATCCACGGCCTCGTTGCCTACTAAGGCCTCGCCCACAAACAGCACCAAGTCAGGGGTGTTGACAGTAATGAGCTTGGCCAGGGCGGTCATCAGGGGGGCATTGTCTTGCATGCGACCAGCTGTGTCCACCAGCACGACATCAAAGCCCTGGTTCCGTGCTACAGAGAGAAAAGCGGTCAGCTCAGAACTCCTGGGTTGTTGCACTTATTTCCAGCGTCCCCTCAGGAAGTCCTAGCCTGGCTATGTGAAGGGCTTTCTCGGGCTCTGGATCTGGTTACAAGGTGGTGAGAAAAAAATCTGTACTTGGCCCTCCGTGCATAGTCAGGAAAAGGATGACAGTGCCACAAAGGTGACCAATTAGAGGTTTCTTGGGTTGGGCCATACCAGCTTCGGTTGCAACTACACCCATTACCCAAAGCGGAGCATGGCACGTCACAAGCCCTGACTTGTTACTGAGCATAAGTTGGTAGTCGGGTGACCCTGATCCTCAGGGTATTTTAAAGGAGCCCAAGGAAAGGGGCCCAGACCAGCTCCCACACTTTCTGTGCACCGTACCAAAGGCAATAGCTTCCATGGCGATGCCGGCAGCGTCTTTGCCGTAGCCCTTCTCAAACAACTGCACCATGGTGCGGCCACCGTGACTCTCCGGGGGGTGGAGGGCACTCAAGCGGCGTGTGTGTGTGCGCAGCTGCTCCACGGCCCCGGCACGAAATGTGTCACAGGCGGCGATGAGGACACTGAAGCCATTCTCTAGCAGCCAGAAGGAAATCTGCAAGAGGCAAAGCAGACTGTCACCTAGAACCACAGTTGCTGAGACAGTGAAGAAAGGTCAGACAGATGGGAACTGCACTGACCTTGGCAAGATTGGTGGACTTCCCCACTCCATTAACCCCACAGAAAGTGACCACGTAAGGGCGCTGATGACGCTGGGCATCCATGATGTCCCGGAGCATGTCCA